TAAGGACTCTAAGGGAGATTTGGTGGTTTTTTGAGCAGGGAGGGCTCTGTAGGTTTTTATTACCATACACACTGCATGCTATTGGGACCAATATGTAAAGTGGTAATCAATGAGTCCTCCATCCATCCATCCAGGAAAAATATTTATTGGGCTAGGCATGGATTATCCAGAGATGAGTGAACACTGTCCCTGACCAAGCAGAAAGCAGCTCTCCAAAGAGACCCTCATCCAGAGAAAGAGGAATTCAGCTGAGAGGGGTCCCCGAGGCAGCTCCAGAGCTTCTGACCAGGCAGCAGAATGCTACTCTGGGAAGTTATGCAGACGGTTAGGTGGTCTGCTTGACCTTCGGGCTCCACTGGTTCTGCTGGAGCAGTAATGAAGGATTTACAGTTGTGAAATCTGCTTGTTGGCATGATTTGAAAATGGATGAATATGCCTCTGGGCACCGCTGAGCAACAACTTTCCTCTCAGCTAGTCGGCTGCAAGGAGCCGACTAAGGAAAATGTTGTCTCCTTCAACGTTGTTCCCCAGCTCTGTTGTTCCCCTTTGCCTTGCATGCTTTGGATACCAGAGTCTGAGAAAGTTGTGATTACAGCAAGTCAGTATGACAGCCCTGCAACTGAGTGATAGCAGACAGCAGCTACAGACACACTCCACTCAGTTTCCCTGCTGTTCTGACATTCAGGACTCCAGCCCTCAATGACAATGTCTTTTCTTCTTTTGTGGCTACACCACACTGTCCATCTCCTGCCAAGCTCATGATTGTTCTAGCGATCGTCCTCTCAAAATAGCTCCACTCCAGGGACAGCCCCAGCATACATTTCAAGGGAAGGGAAATGAATAGCAAGGAGCTGATATGAGCTGGGATTTCAGTCCAACTGCCAATGTAGGGACAGGGTGTGTTTCGGGGGTCAGGTATAGCACAGTATAGATGCCGAGAAATGCACAAGACAGGTACACTATCAGGACATTGCTTTAAAAGGAGGAAGAAGGGAGGGGAATACTCCATGCACACCCTTACACTCACTCCCTGTCATTACATGCATTCATGTCCATTTGATGAGCTACATTTCCTGGAGGAGACAGTGCTGAGCTCTTTGCAGGGATAGGTGACTAACATACGTCTCAAGCTATTATAGAATTTCTCATTTCTATTGGCATATCCTATCAAGGAACGTAAGTTCTATGGGGATTGGCAGTCTAGCCAAGGTGACTCATTTGAGCTGCAGAAAGAGAAAGAAAGGGAGGGGAAAGGGGTTGAAATTCCATTGACTATGTTGCATGAAATGGCTATGTTTAAATTTTATAGAGGATCTTGCTCTGACCAAGAGACTACAAGCTTAGTACCCTTGTCCAAGGATATTAAATACAGATGAGAATCCTTTTAAAAAAAAAACTACTTAAATTTCCCAAGATTCAGAGTCAGTCCCAGCTGACTTTTTGCAGAAGATACAGAAGCAACATGGTACAGGCAAGGAAGTTCTGCAGTTAGACAAAGAGCTTCTTGGATAGAGGCATGCCACAACATCACCACATGGCCGGGAATAGATTCCTTGATTCATTTTAGCTTTACCTTCTCTCTTAACTGTGTCACCTGACCCACAACATTGTAGTGGTTATATCACAATAGACGGAACAACAAAGGGAAAATGTGGAAAGCCTTGGTAAACTAAAGCCCAAAAGAAAAATAGTATATATTTCATTGTCCTTTAGCATTGGAAACTGAGATAGGAAAGCATTCAACTTGCATGTGAAAAGCCCTGGGTTCAATCCCCAGTATAGTCACCTCGAAATCTATATGTGTGTGCTCGTGTGTGTGTGTGTGTGTGTGTGTGTGTGTGTGTGTGTGTGTGTGTGTGTGTGATAAAATCACTAATGCAGACAAGCATATATACAAATACAGCGTTTGAAAATAAAATTAATTTCCTCATTACTTTCTTCTTCCTGAAGAAGAAACTATGTTTTCATTGCTGAAAATTTCAAGAAACAAAAAAAAAGAAGAAAGTAAAAATACTCATAATTTGAAGTAGTCCCCTCTGGCTAAATGCTTATATATGTTTGTTCTAGCAAAGCATATCCATGGCAGTTTAAAAAAAAAAAAAAGCCTGACCAGCCAGTGCCTTAAAATA